TTTTATTATGTCTCTCTCCTACCAACCTCACTAACATTATGGAGTATTTTTATTTATTAATTATCTCATACTACAGAGTAACAATTATATATATATATATATATATATCCCACTAAGTATACTTTATGCAGAGTATTATAAAATTCCCTCTTTATTCTGCACCCTATAATTTTCCTAAAAGTTTGTGCAATAGCTAATGTTGAGATTATTACGAAACGAAAGGAGTAAAATTTTATACATGTATGTCCATTAGTTAGTGGATCGATTAAATTTCGACAAGATAACGAGGTATAAAAAATTGTTTATAATGACCTGTAGTTATTGCACTTTGAGATTGAAGGATAGCTCAAGTGGTTAAAACTTCCCTCCTAGTTTAAAGAGATCGTGGGATCACTTTTTATACGGTGGAGATTTAGTTCGAATTAGCCAATAGAAGTATTACCTTTGTTTTTTTAGTTGCATCACTTTCCTAAAAAGAAAGTTTTAAATTACACTACAAGAAAACAGCTGGATTCCGACGGAATTTTTCCGTCGGAAACGTAGGATATTCCGTCAGAATCAGGCCTTCCGACGGAATTTCGTAGGAAATAGTCTGTCGCAGCACCCCTTGTCAAAAATTCGACCTTTTCCGGCGGAAATTACGTCGGAAGGTGTTATTCTGACGGAATTTCCGACAGATTTAATTCTGTCGGCGCTAATTTTGACTTTAATTGAAATTCCGTCTCAAATTTCCGGCGGAAATTTCCATCGGAGGTGGATAGGTTTCCGACGGAATTTTCCGTCGGAAAAGTCAATAAAAAAAATAAAAAAAAAATTAAAAGCCCCACCTGCCCAGTAAAACCCCACCCCCACCCCCACCCACCCCTGCCCAGAACAACCCCCACACCCACCCCTGCCTAGAACAACCCCTACACCCCACCAGCCCACCCACCCACCCACCACACCCACCCTTGACCAGAACACCCCCCACACCCACCCCTGGCCCAGAACAACCCCCTACACCCCACCAGCCCACCCACCCACCCACACCCACCCCTGCCAGAACAACCCCCACACCCACCCCCTGCCAAGAACAACACCCACACCCACCCAGACCAGCCCACCCACCCACCACCCCCACCCACCCACCCACCCCACCGTATTTCACCTGCCTAGAAAAAACCACCACCCAAACCACCTAACCAACCCCCTAACCCACCCACCGAGAAAAAAAGAAAAAAAAATTCGAAAAAACGCGAAAAAATCCAGAACAACCAAATCGAAACAAAAACCAAAAATCGGAATAAACCAAACCCAGATCCAAACAAAAAAAATCGAAAAAAATAAACAAAACCAATTGAAATCGAACAAAATAAATAAATGTACAATTATCTTCTGAAATTAATAGAAAAAACATTACAATTATATAATTATAATCAGAATTGTTTAAATAAAAAAACTAGATCTAAATGTTGTTGTTATTGTCGTTGCTGCGTGCTGGTGTCGATGTCGTTGCGGTGGTGTCGCTGCTGCTGGCGTGGTTGTTGTAGTTGTCGTTGCGGTGGTGGTGTGGTTGTTGTCAAAGAAGGGGAAAGAAGAGGAGAGAAGGAGAAGTCGAAAGGGAAAGAATGAGGAAAGGGGAAAGAACGAAGAATGAGGAAAGGGGAAAGAACGGAGAATGAGAAAAACAGAAGGGGAAAGAAGAGAGAAGGGGAGAGAGAAAGAGAAGAAGAGAAGAGATGAGAGGAGAGAGAAAGAGAGGCAGAGAGGGAGGAGGAGAGGATAGATAAAAGGGCTGGGGATTTTTTTAGGGTTTAGTTTGTTTTAATTTTTAATTTTTATTTTTTTAAAAAAAATGCTAGAATTCCGTCGAAAAATGTGTAAAATCCGTCGGAAATTTCCGAAGGAAATAAAATCCGTCGGAAATTTCCGAAGGAAATAAAATCCGTCGGAAATTTCCTACGGATTTTAAATCAACCAGATATTTATTATTTTCGACGGATTTTTATCCCTCGGTATTTACAGCTTCCGACGGAATATTCCGTCGGAATCAATAAATTCCCGAGGGAAAAAATCTGTCTGAAATATTCCGAGGGATTTTCCGTCGCAACAAACCTTTTCCGAAGGAATTTTCTAAGAGACCCAAATTCTGTCGGAAAATTCAAAATTTCCGACGGAAATGTCATCCGTCGGAACAATTCCGTCGGAAAACGGCCTATTTCTTGTAGTGTTAGTTGCATCACTTTCCTTTTTAACTAATAAATTCTCTCTATCTCTCTCCTACCATATGGGCCCCATTTATTTTTTCTCTCTACTCCAAAAATTGCCTAGGAGTCCGTGAAAACAAAGGTGATGCAACTAAAAAAACCAATTGGTCTTAGCTGCACCATGCTCTATAAAATGAACATTTAGTATAAAAATTATGAACATGTAAAAAATGAACATTCACTAATAAAAAAAGAATGTTCGGTACAAAAAGTGAACATGTTTTTATAAAAGTTTATCAATTATATAAAAATGAATATGATTGTCATATAATCATATAACTGCTAGACCACGGCCTTAACACGAAAATTTAGTAAAAAAAAATTATGAACATATAAAAAAATGAAATTTAGTAATAAAAAATGAATACGTAAAAAAATGAACATTTAGTAATAAAAAATGAACATGTAAAAAAAACATTTAGTAATAAAAAGTGAACACATAAAAAAATATGAACATTTAGTTTATTAAAATGAACATTTATTATACAATCATTGATATACCTAATAAAATGATCATTTCATAAAAATATATGAACACATTAAATAAAACAAACATTAAGTATACAAAAATGAACAGGTCAAAAAAAATTATGAATATTTAGCATATTAAAAATGAATATGATTTTCATATATTCATATATGTTCAAATTCATTGTATTAAATTATTAACGAAAAATAAATATATAATAAATCGTTAAAATATATTCATTTTTTATGTACTGATTGTTCATTTTTAGTGTACAAAATGTTCATTTTTAAAGTACTACGTGTCCATTTATTTTTATTGAAATTATACACAAGTTCGATTGTAATTAATTTATTTCTAAAAATTTAAATATCCACCTTAAATCTTATCTTGTTTCATCATAAAGAAAATAATTATAAATCTTTAACATGATAGATTATGAATCGAAAGAATAACCAAAAAAAAAAAAGAGAGAGAGAGAGAGAGAGAGGAGAGAGAAAATTACTATAATTAATTGTTACTCATCACAAATTCATCACATACTACAAATTGACAAAATACACAATAATTATACTACCTCTATTTCTGAAAGTTCGACTCAATTACTATTCACGTGGTCAAAATAAAATAACTTTGACCAACTTTGATGATTTTTACGAAAGAAATAAATTACCATGTGAGATCTTATTAGATTCGGCATACTTTATATTCTTCAAGTATCAACTTTTTATAATTTTCAATGATACATAGCCAAGGATATTGATGGTCAAAGATGCACATTGGAGACCGCACAAATGCAAAATGAGTCGAACTTTTAGGAATGGGGAGAGTATATGAAATTTCAATCACAAATTTAGAAAATATAACCTAATTAAACCAAATTATAAATCAATAACATAAACAAATATATATATCAACAATCTCTTCAAAAATACCAATTAAATCCATCACGAATTCAACAAAATTACAGAAAATAAAGGAGAGAGATAATGTTAATTGAAGAAGATAATGTCTAGAGGAGAGAGAAATTTTCAAACAAAATTAAGGATAAAGAGAAAAATTAAAAATAGAGGAAACATATACATAAGAATTAAGAAATAAGGTAGGAAGAAGATTGAGTAAGGAAGGAGAAGAAGTAGTACAATGTATGTGTGTTTTACTGTATAAATGTTAATGGTGGTGCAGCTAGCTTATATCTACTAGGATGCATCTAAGAATTTGCCCTAAAAAAACCAATGGAGGAAGTACTCCCTCCGTTTCGTATTAATCGCAACACTAGCGTGTTCACAAAGTTTAAGAAAATTTATAGGATGGGGCCTAAAAGATGATTTTTTATAAAATACAGAGTAAAGTATTGTTGGTAGGAGAGAGAAATAATAAAAAAAAAGAAGTATAAGTGGGGTTGATTGGAAAGATAAATCTAATATATCAAAGGGAAGTTTTTTCCCGAGTTTTTAAAGCGCCACGTAGGATATAATTTTTTTTTAAATTATTAGAGCACCACTTAGGATTAAATTTTTTAAAACGCTACAATAGGATTTTTCCACGTAAGATTAATGTTTTGTTTTTTTAATAAAAAAAATTCGCCATGTAGGATTAACAATTTTAAAACGCTGCGTAGAATTATGCCACGTAAGATTAATTGTATAGCGTCATATAGGAAAATGTTATATTTTAGCCAATAAAAAAAGAATTGCAATTTATTCTAGAAAATTTTTTATATTAACTATAAAAATTAAATCAGCGCGTCTTTTGTGCTGCTGGTCATATCGTGTGGCCGGATGAGACCCACCCAAACACTGACCGAGTAACCTCTAATTGTCCGAGTAACCCCTGATTTATTGAGTAACCCTTGACCAACCAAGTAACCTCGAACCAAGTAATCCCGACCACACAGTGTGACCAGTCACATATGAAACTTTGTGAAATAAAATATTATCCTTTTGTATTATGAATTTTATCTAAATACGAGAAATGAAGTTAATAACTCATATTATAATAAAAAATTCAAGTCATAAGTAAGCGAATATCACAAAATTTATTAGATGAATATATATTAGTAAAATATTTTATTTGAAAAAATACAAATAAACCGTGTATCGCACGGGTTTCATCTAGTGATAACATATTTGTGAAAGTAGGGTTAGTGGGAGAGAAAAATAATAAAATAATAGTGGATCCTTTCCAAATATAGAAGTATAACAATTAATATAAAACGAATGTAAAAGAAAAGTGTTGAATTTAATATAAAATGGAGGGAGTATATAATTTCAGCCCAACTTTGTTAATCATCCCATCGATTACTTCAGATAGACAGGCCACAGGCCCATACTATCTCTCTCTCACTCTCTCTCAATTGACCAAAATGAAATAGTTCTACTTCACAAACTGACCGAAAACCCCTAAAACCCTAACAAAATTAAACCCATTTTCCCCCAATTTCTTCAGATTCGAAAATCTGGGTAAAAATGGCGTCGATTTCATTGAAAGGGAAGACGAAGAACATAGCAAATAGATCGAAGAGATACTTAGAAGAAGCTTTATATCGTAGACTGTTTAAAGATGGCGGAGATGAAGTTAGTGTTCGTCATCAATTGAATGAGTTCCTCAAAAGTCGTAAGAAAGTTTACAAATGGGAAGTTGGTGATACCATTAAGAAGCTTCGACAACGCAAGCACTATTATGCTGCTCTTAAGGTCTTTTTTGTTTTGTCTTTCCTTTTTTTGGGTTTATTTTGATTGTTTTTTAGCTGAATTTGTGCATTTTGGGGTTTGTTTATTGAATATGCAAGTGATTTCAGAAGATTAATACAAATTAGTGTTATTGATGCAAATGGGTGTTTTTTTATTTTTGAAAGTTTTTTGATTGTTAAGCTCCAGTTTGTGTATAGTTGATAATGAAAACAGTTGATGGATGATTTGTGAATTGATTATTGTTGCATTAGTCATGTGGGAGCTTGGTTTTTTCGGTTCAAAAACTGTTGTGGTTAGAGAATGCAATGGCTGTAGTTGCTGACCTTGAAGACACTTTGTTGGTTTTGAGAAGAGGGTAAGGGGAGGTTATGCCGAAGCCGAGATTTTTCGTACGTTTGGTGTCTTGGATTTTTTGCTTTGAAGCCTAATAGTTGCTGCCCTTTCTTCTCGGAAATGGGAGGCAGGAGGTATTATATGCGGTTTCTAGCACAAGTATCATAGAACCTAATGTAGGGATATTGAGTATTGCCTGACTACGGCCACCCTTAGTTATTTGAGTGGTAGACTGTAGTGATCGACTACTGGTTTACCCCTAAAGTTTGGGGTCTATTTGGATTAGGTACTTTTTACATATTTATGAGGTGTAGAAGGCGTTGGGGATTTGAAGATAGTCTGGTTTCGAAATTATTGTTATTATTTACTTAACAAAGTGCATTGCTTGGATACTTGTGGTTAAATGTTTCCTATGATTTAGTGCTTTTGCAAAGTTATTAAAAGTGAAGTGTTTGAGCTGAATGCTAATTCCTAACTTTTGCTGGATTGTTCACAATTTTGTGGACTGCAAATTCAAGCTCTTAGTGCCTAGCTAGAGTAAGAACTAGAAACTTAAAAATTGTGGCTCTTACTTGTATATTTTGTGAACAAGGGTATTTCTCCTCAATAATTAAATATCTTTACATAATAACAGCTCTGTATCCAAATGGACTCTTAATCTTATACGAAGTATGTGTGCAAAAAGATTTGGTATTCGGATTCAGACAATCTAAGTATTGATCTCCAGTCTTTGGCCCTTTCAGAGGTAAGACTTTTGGAAGTCTGTGTAGGATGGGTTTTCCTTTTTCCTTGGATGCTCTTGAAACCTTGTACCTCATAAATCCATATCTTCCTGTATAGTACCCTAAAATGACCTGGATTTTATAGAGTTTGATTTCCGTATGCAATTGGAATCTAAGACATATATTAGGCTGTAATGTGAACTAGATAATATCATGTTAGAAAAGTAGTATAAGAAATTAGGAATACGTAAGTTTTAAACACATAATCAAAGAATTAGTTTACAAAAACCTATGGCTAAAATTAACAATAATAGAATTAGTTTAGAGTAACTTAGGTTATAGTATGCAAAGAGCTATCCTTAGAAAGAAAACATCCCACTGCGTTGGAAGAACTGTAGATGGAATTAATGCGCTCCTCCCTTATTACCCTTAGGAAATGCTGGAGCCACTTGCTGTTACTGTCCCACACTTATTTATTATACCTCCTTAAGTTTATTAGATTTCTAAATCAAGGCTTTGGTGGTGTCATGTGTTGACTTGGAGCTGTCTTTTATATATCCAGTAATTTACCCATTTGTTGTAGCATTCTCAAATACCTTTGGAATATTGTTTAATTTTTACATTGTTTGTTAATAGATAATTGCTTCTGCATTTCCATTGAGTGCTCTGCATATGATTTCTTTTTCTACTGCTAAGGTTGCTCTATTAGTCTCTTTTCCCTCCTTTGTCTCGCATATTCTGTAATCAAAAGCTCTTGTCATTTGGTGGAGACTGGAGTGGAGAGTACATAAGCGATTTAAATATTGATGGAACATTATGTAATGGAAACCTTTAGTTGAATTAGGTTTTAACAAAAAAAATTCACCTATCTTACTCCAGACTTCATAGGTTCATTTGTTAGTAAACTTTTTTTGTAATTATTTTTGAATAATACTCTAGCCGACCCCACTTATGGGATTAAGGCTTTGATTGATTGATTGATTTTTGTATAATATTATGTATTGATGTGAAGTATACTGATAAATAGTAGCATAGTTATGACTATCTAATCGTGCATTGCAACCCAACCTATAATATTATAGGAATATTATAGGCTCATCTTATGATAGCATAGTAGTAGTTGCATGCTTTCTTGTTACTGGTAATGAGTGCTAACCCTTTTTTCCCAATCTTTTACTTTTCCAATTTTGTTTTTTCTCATCACAATTCTCCATGGTACTATGGTAATAAATTGATGTGGTTTACCTTTATGCAGCTTTCAGACACTATGGCTAGTAGGGGCATGAACATGACATTAAGTGACCAAGCTATCCACCTTGATCTTATTGCCAAGACTCACGGCATTACTGCTGCTGAGAATTATTTTGTTGATCTTCCTGAATCATCAAAATACATAGAGTGTTATGGTGCCCTTCTTAATTGCTACTGCAAGGATTTGAACTCTGATAAAGCTGAAGCACTTATGGAGAAGATGAAGGAACTCGGTCTGCCTATTACTGCCATGTCTTACAACAGCCTGATGACTATGTACACAAAAAGTGGTCAGCCTGAAAGAGTACCTGCTCTGGCACAAGAAATGAAGGCCTCTAATATTATGCTACAAATATACACGTATAATGTCTGGATGAGAGCTTTAGCAGCGGCTAATGACATTGATGGGTTTGAGAGAGTTTTGGATGAGATGAAGCGAGATGGACGAGTGGCCGAAGATTGGACAACATACAGCAATTTAGCATCAATTTATGTCGATGCTGGGATGTCGGACAAGGCTGAGAATGCTCTTAAGGAGCTTGAGAAGCGGAACACTTCAAAAGCACTCTCACCATACCAATTTCTCATTACTTTATATGGTAGAACTGGGAATTTGGTTGAGGTTTATCGTGTTTGGCGCTCTTTAAGGCTTGCCTTTCCTCAAACTCCAAATATTGCTTACTTGAATATGATTCAGGTTTTGGTCAACTTGAAAGATATACCAGGTGCTGAGAAATGCTTTAAGGAATGGGAATCTGGCTGTTCACTTTATGATATTCGTATAGCAAATGCACTCATTGGAGCCTACGTCAAAGATGGTTTGTTAGAAAAGGCTCAAAAGCTCAAAGAGTGTGCTAGAAGTAGAGGGGCTAACCCTAATGCTAAAACTTGGGAGATCTTTCTGGATTATCATTTGAAGAAAGGGGAAACTAACCCAGCGGTTGATTGTGTTGAAAATGCAATAAGCAACGGAAGGGGAGATGGGACTAAGTGGGTTCCATCTGTCGAAATAATCAATGCAATGATGCAGCTCTTTGAACAAAATAAGGATGTTGATGGGGCTGAAAGTTTTCTGGAGCTTGTGAGAAATGCTGTGGATAACTTGGGGGCAGAAGCATATGAATCATTGATAAGAACATATGCAGCCGCTGGAAGGACTAGTCCTTCTCTGCATCGCCGATTGAAGATGGAAAATGTAGATTTGAATGAGGCAAGTAAGAAGTTGCTTGAGGCAATTACCGTTGAATGAGTCTCCCTTTTTTGACCTGTAATTCTTGCTCTTACAAATTTTTGGCTAGTTGATAGCTATTATGCCAACTGTTGTTGTTTCAATAATGGATATGGCCTGTTTTTGTGGCTAATTCTCTAATTTTCGTTGTTAGATGTGAGATGAATGGAATTTTGTGTCCTTTCTTAGCCTGTATGCTGATGGCAGAACTCTCTGGTTCGCTGATTGACATTGATACTTGCAACTTAATATGTCTGAAAATATTTATGTAACTGTATTTTTAGGACCTGGGATTTTGTGAGTGAATTTTTGGTAATTCATTTTCCGACATAGTTATCTGTATGCATCTTTAGTCATCACCTCACAAAACTGATTTGGACCAAGTTCCCAGTCACTATCTTGATCTGTATCTAAATTTGCATGACTTAATTTTATACTCGAATTGAAAATTATGACTATTGATTGAATTTATCATAATGAGCTACAAGTAATTGACAATAGAATTGAATATTGCTTGATCCAACCGGAACAACTCATCACCTCATATGATTTAAAATTCGACTCAATCTCAACCGCATTGTTCCATATCTAGCTCTCTCCAAACATGAATAAAAGTGCAATTTCCCCAGTTGTGCATGTAACATCAATTATTCTACTACGTTTTACAAATTTGTGTATCATGTTCTTGGTTATCAAAGTATAGAATTGTAGTATAATAGCAGAAATATCGACTGTTTTGAAAGCGGCAGAGGAAGCTCACTGGTTGAGAACTATCCTGGTAGACAAATGGACACACACATCATAGAAGGAAATAGTGGACAATGTTATAACTACTGCCGAATAGACCCGACCAGTGAGGTAAGAATACATTGGTGGGTTAACAAATCATCATATTGGCAAATTTTACTTCACAATAACAAGAAAGCATAGCATCTACACAATCGAAAAGATTAGCGTGCAGATTTTGAGTAATCCAAGATTCCAAGCTATGGGTGGTAAAATCGCCAAGGCTCGATTGAGGAGAATCACTAAGGCCAACCGTGTGCCTTGCGCTCGATTGAGGTCAAGTGGAGGTACTCTCCTTACCGGCTCCTTGGCCGAGGCTCATCCCAAACCCTATAGCCCTTATTAAGCTGGTGAGATTAATGAGGAAAGCATATCTTATGGTCATATTATGATTTATTATGACTACGAAATTACGAATGATGTAATTGTATCTCTAAAACCAAACCTTTTTTTTTTTTTTGGTAACTCTCATGGTTTTAAGGCCTTGTTTAGTTCAACTTATTTTTACTTATTTCAAAAAAAAAAAGTTCAGATCAGAAAAAATAAGTTCAGATAAAATCATTGTTTTATTTGCAATTTTTTATTGCTAAATATCTTTAATTTCGTTATGATAATTACATATTAATAAAATACACATTATTACCAATCTAACAAGATCTCACTTGATATATTTTTTTGTTTTTACAGATTATCGTACACTTAAAGTCAAAGTTTGGTCAAATCAGACAATAAGATCATATCACATTAGATCAGATCAGACCAGATCATATAAGTTCAGATAAGCAAAAATAAAGTGAACCAAACAGGGTTTTTTCAAATATAATTATCAGACATGGAAAATCATGGTCCAAATAATTATTATCCAGACCCATCTTAATCAAACCAAGTAGTCGAAACAATTTGTGATTGCCACATCAACCCAAATTACTTTGTAGTTGAGCTATTTTAATTGATAAACTCCCATTTTCTAGTAATCACAACTTCAATTGACGCAAATGTAATCCCCATATTACCTCCATTATTCTTAACACCAACAATATTGCAATATAGTTTTAAAAAAAAAACATATCTATCACAGAGAATAGTAACTGCACAATCACTCGTACGATTACATAGACATTTGTTATGCCGTACCATACACAAAATGTAGTAATTAATTGTATACAGAAAAAAACCCTCGTCCGTTCATGGATCGGAATAAGCTCGACTAAGATAACCCAAGGATGCACGGACACGCCAAAAATCTGAAGAGTCCGAGTCGACACGCGTGTCGGACACGGACACGGATGAGACACGGGGCGACACGTGTCCGACACGCAGAAAACCGTGTCCGATTTTTTTTAACCGTTTTTGATTTTTGGACACGGGCCGTGTCTTGGGCTGACACGGGCCGTTTTGGTATGGACACGCGAAATACCTAAATTCCTATGCTTTGCCTCTCTACCTCTTTCCAAGTTTTCAGTTCTCAAACTCTCAATCCTCTCATCCTCTCAAGTCTCAACTGAACCCCTTGCTGCTCACTTGCTCAGTCGCCGACTTGTAGGTCTCACCGTACCGCCGGCTTGCTGTCTCCGTCACCGCCACTCGCCTCCTTGCCGGTTGTCAGGGTTGCTGGCATGGCCCTTGCTGCTCGTGGCCTTCATCTCTCATTGTTGCGGGGGTTGCTGGAGTTGCTGGCCTGGCCCTTGCTGTTCGCCTGCTCGTCCTCAGCCACCACCTATCACTCCACCGCCCACCTTGTCGCCCGTCGTCCGTGTCAGCCACCAGGTATGGTTCTTCTCTACTTTTTTTTTTTTAAATTCAATTAAAGTTCTGAATATGCATCCTTGGATGTCGAGAAGTGAGAGAATGTCGGTGAGAATGGAGTCTGGGAGAGAACTTAATCGGTCTTCATTTTCTGAGTCTCCGCCATTGTTGTCTTTAATGGAGCTCAATTTCAGCCTTTTCGTGCTTATTTCTTGGTGTTCTGCCATTCAACAATTGAGCTCCATTGTTATCTTTACTGGAGCTCAATTTCTGCCATTCAACAATTGCTGTGATTCTGAAGTGAATTCGAGTAATGCTAATTTGGGGAATTTTTTAGGGTTTTAATCAGTGTAAGTGTGTAAGAACTTCTGATTTTCTGAAATTCAATTGCTTCAATAATTCAATTTGTTGTTCGTCGTCAGCCAGACAACCACCGCCCACCACCGTGTTTTGACAGTTTTGTTGATTACTTGATGAGATGTTTGATTTTGTGTTATGTTTCTAGTTTTGTTTGATTACTTGAAGAGTACTATTAAGACATGTCTGGTTTGATGGTTTCTTGATATGTATCCGACTATGTCCGTACACTTTGTTCATTTACTTGTTTAATTAAAATTGTGTGTTTTGAGGCTAATTATTTAGTGTTTTATTGAATTAGTTGTCAAATTCTCGTTTTTTTAATATATTATATGCCTTGTTATACGCCGTACCCGTGTCCCCTATTTTAGGATTGCCGTTTTCCCGTGTCCGTATCGTGTCCGTGTCCGTGTCCGTATCCGTTTCCGTGCATCCTAGAGATAACCTCGATCGATCTCGATCCAATGCGGACAGTCAACACAGCAACCGAAAGTTGCGCTTCAAAATCAGCACGTACATACATACTTAAGCAACACCTTACCTTCCGATCCCCATGCTATGCATTAATTTAGGCTTTGTCTGTCTAATTGTTTTTAGTTTCATTTAATAGATACTCCTACATGATCCGACGTAGTCGCTTAGAATCCAAGTCAAAATCATTAGATTATTATCATTTTTTATATTTTTTTTTTACAAGTTTGACTTTATACCCTTAGTAAATAAATAATTCCAATCAACAACTTGCCGTTGAAGCTACGAAGTTGGGTCAGATTCTTTGATGTTGTCGTGAGTGATAATGTCTTATATTTATGCTTTGATTTCATACTCGACCTCTTGATTTTGCTATTGGAAGTGGGAAAAGATACTTCCAATAGCCTGTTTTTTCAAGAAAATAAAGTGGAAAATTACATGATTGGTTCCCTTGATTTAGGCAAATGATGAAAAAAAGAAAATAGGCAGATAATAATGAAAAAGGATTTTTAATATTAATGTACAACTTTCATTTAAGGTCATTTGAGCACCGGTTAAATTATTACCGGGTCATGGTTACTTTATTAAAAACCGGTGTTTTTACGAGAGCTCAACAGTTAAGTTTTATGAAAAGGAGTTGTATATACTCCGTATTAAACTAATTAATTATTTTGATAGTTAGATAGTATGTGTATCTCATTATATTAACTACATACAAAAAGATCTATTCAATTATACTTAGAGCTCAATAAGATTTCACCTAAAAACTAGAAGCTAGGTAAACTTAACACACAATTTTAACCCTAAATCTAAAAATGGTTGGAATGAATTTTTACAAAAATACTTTAAATCAAAATATATACAGGAATACAAGTTGACCAACTAATTTGACTCATGACTTCAGTTGATCACATACATATTTTAAATCGTTGTTAAAGAACTAGTATCTAACGCTAACTATTCTACTTAATTGAAAGGAAGGTTGATGAGATTTGAACTCGTGACTTTAATTCTTGTCACACTAGTTTTAATAACATGTTAAGAGGACCAACAAACTTATCAAAAGTTTATGCTCATAGTTAAGGCTCGAAGTATATGTTTTATACTTTATAAATTGCATTACTTTTGTTTCATTTAACTTAATATAATGGTGAATTTGCAGGGGGTTGAAGTTGTACGCTAATTAATTGTACTTTGTATTAAAATATATTCATTTTTTTTAAGAAAAACTCAAATAATAATGGATATATAGCATATAGTAACACCATGACATTGGTTTAATATGAGCCTTTATTTCGTGGGACTCATTAAGCAAAATCTTCTTACTTCATTTTGTTTATTGTACTCAATTAATCAAATATATCTTATACATCTACCAAATCGACATTTATATGTAAAATCTAATGCTTCCTCTAGTTCATGTATGTGTAGTGTCCTTTTCCTATGTAATGATTCAGTTTAATGGGAGACATTTAATTCTATACATGTGGTGTACCAAATTTGACTTAAATTGAACGCTTATTATATCATTTAATTTGTTCTATATATCATTCCTCGTAGTCTAGTTATGATCACTAATATTCATCATGAAATTCCGATAATTTTGCTGCCAAAATGCCTCCCTATTAATTAATACTATGGAGTACTTCGCATTCATTACACCTCTCTTTAATTACACCTTTTGTCACTTGCAATTATCTTGTCCAAGTATTTATTTACTTAATTAGCAAGCACGATTAGTTATTGAGGCATTTCGATTAGGCGAAACACAGGAAACTAGCTAGTTTAGGATTGTTTGCTTGATTATACTTTCAAAATTTTCGAACCGCACCGTTAAATACGGTGCAGTTTGCGGTTTAATCATATTTTTTTAAAAATTATAAATATCTTTTTTAAAAAAAAAAACTTTTACTTTATTTTGTGATTATAAACCTATAATTTGAATATTAAATTCCTTTTTTTTTATTTTTTTTTATCTTTAATTACTTAATAGTCAAAGATTACATCATATTTTTAAGTTCTTTTATATATTTTTTTGATAAAAGCGGTTTAGGTGTTTGGTTCAATATATTGGAATGGAATCTCATACTAGAAAGGTATGGATTCTAAAACCCATACTAGCCTATAGTTGTTTGGTTTAATGTTAGAATGGATTGTATTATTCATTAAAAGAATGGATTGTGAATCTTAGGGGGGGAGGTGGGTATGGGATTTGATAGGTATGAGGTAAAGTTAGAATTAGGGGTGACACTAATGTAGTTTAAAACTGAACCAAACCGCAAACCGAACCGAATTAGAAATGTGGGGTGTGTGTGTGTGTGTGTGTGTTTTTTCTAATGTGGGTCAATGCGATTTGAGGAATCCCAAAACTGAATTAATATGGTTTGGTTTCGGTTTTAAGATTTGAAAAACCAAAAACCGAAATCATCACTACATTTTTCTTGCTCCACCTAGCTAAAAAAATTACGTGTCATCCTGTACCACTAAAATATGTTCTACGTGTTAGTTTTATTTCCGTTTATAATTAGATTTTTTTAAGAAAAAAAAAGAAGAATTTTATATACTTCGTATATCAAGCAAACAAAAAAGAAAAGAGGGAACAAAGAGGAGAAATAAAAGACAAACCATATTATATTCACTTTTTTTCCTTTCCGCAATAAAATTTATACAAATGCTTCCTAAAAGCAGTGTGATTAATGGATCACCTATTAACCTAATTAAGAACCAAAACTTTTCTTAAAAAAAAGAAAAAAAAAAAAAAAAAACTATAGAATAGCCCAAACCCCATGCACAATTTTGACCAAACCCCAAGATAAAGGCACCCAAAAAAATAAAATATATGTGATTGAAAATTTTGCTAGGGACATCTAACATTTCTTCCAGGCCCTCCATAATAAAAATAATTACCCCAAACATTATTAATACCACCTCTAATATCATAACAATTTGGATGATCAGCCAAAACTTTGAGGTTGGATAATGGAATTAAACTATTACCCCAATCTACTATTTGCAAATTCCGAAAATAGGAAGCTTTTCCAAAGCCTTCCCCTGAAAAATGACCACTTCCCATTTGAGTTGAAGTGTGGAAACCTCCTGTCTTTGAATTCACTATTTCCCCTCCAAATTGTACCATACTTGCATGGTCTCTTAGGTGGGTGAACAAAAATGAGGGCCAATACCCGACTAAGACTCCGGATCCGAATTCGAGCCACCAATTTCCGTGCTTAGGATCCTGAAAAGAAGAGATAACAAAACGGTTTATAATGTTAAGTTATAAATATGTTAAACATAGCTTTAGAGACGACACATAAAAAGTTTAATGTTAAAGCCCTGAATAGCAATTACTAAATATGTGTGGCTTTATCATATATTTTTCAATTAATGTTTTTTCTTTTGAGATTTTCATTCTTAATTTCTTATTCATAATCCGAATACAAGTACACTCGTGGATTCTATTATAGTGATATACTGATATGATTAGATGTATATGTAATGTTTTACATGTAAATATTAAGAGAAAAATTATATGCATGATCTTATATATAGATCTAACCCATGGGCATGGTAGCAATAACTATGCGAAATTGATGCGGTAAAACATAGAAGTGATTTAGCCGTACAAACTAAGTTGGTAGATTATACTATAATTTAAGTTGTGATATGGTTAAGGCCTCGAACTCAGACACTACGTTCATTAAAGTAAAAGCATAAACAATTATATTTACAACGGTAAAACATATAGTCGTGTATTTGAAAATTTTACAAACTAAAGTTTTTGATAATTAATTCTTTCTCTTATTTGTGACATTTTTTCTTCTAATATACTAAGGTATTGTTTGATTGGAGGTAAATAGCATGGGAAATTCTATTTTTTAGGAAATGGAAAAATCATGTGCTGTTTGGTTGACACAAATTTATCAAAAAGGGAAAAATGGAAATTCCAAGGGAAGTTTCACTTTCCATGAAACATGGGAAATAACTTACCAAGCCCCCCTTGCTAAGTTACAATTCATATGTTATTGTGGGGCCTACTTGCATTATTATCACTAATAATTTAATCTCTTTCTTTCCCTCTCCAAATTTGTTAACTTAAATAAAAATTATCAAGTTAACTAATAAAACATAGGAAATAAATTCCTAGGAAATCAAAGTTCCTATATTATCAACCAAAAAAACATTAAGTTAATTCCTAGGAAATGGACAAGGGAAATTACTTCCCATAAAATACAATTTCCTAAAAAAACTCATTTCTCATGTCAACCAAACAACACCTAAGAAATACTTGTATGTTAAATCTTTGCGATGTTTTGTGGTACCACATCACATCCATTTTATTTATACTTTCGTTCAATAATATAAGATATTGAAAAACTACATGTACAATAATAACTTGAACTATCAGTGATAGTTATAAAATAATTCTAACTATAGTATTGTTAAATTAAAAAATGTTCCAACTCCTGAATGACCCTTCTCGATCCTAACTTTTTCACCTACATTTAGTCAAAATTTTACATCAAATTGAGGATATAATATTTTATGTATATTGTTGGACTCAATAGCTTTATAATTGTGAACATCTTAGCTTACTGTTATTAATTGTTGGATGTTCAAATAGTAAGAATAGCAAAATCATCCATAATTTTATTTAAGAAATCTTACCATCAATCAATTTCACACTTATAATAAAATTACATGAATTCTTCATCAAATATTCAAAATAGAGTAATTTTGATGACTTTCTATACAAGTAATATTCGTTTGTTAACTTTCCATGTACAAAAGAAGAAAGAGAATAGAATCTTGCAAAGTTGAAAAAAAAGCACAAGGGACAAAGTGTATCATAGTTTTTTTTTTATAAAAACAAAATTATTATTTAAAATATGTATATTAAAAAAAAAAAAAAAAAAAATAAAATTAAGAAAGCACTAACTTAATCTAGTGCACGCGTGCAATATAAATTCGAAGCAAAGAGGTAATAAGAAAATATTTAGGTAGGAAGATTTGATGATGTTTCCATGAAGAGTAAGTAAAGTTATATAAATCCTGATTCTTTCCTAAAATATAATTGGTGCTTTAGGCATGTTTGTTTGTGCCATATGTGTAACAAAGCCTAGCAAATGAGTAAATTCTTAGCCTTGAATGACAAGTTTTATGGCATTTTCATGACTAGCATCATTGTGGTCCTTGTTCATTCATTTTGCCAACATTTTTCTAGTCATGTTATGATGTACTTGGTATTTCAATTACTCCCTCCATTTTTTTTTGGAATGATAGAAATAAAAAATTCAAAATTATGTATCAAAAGTGTACTTAATAGTGTACAATGATTAACATTTAACAGTGTATCCACGAAATATACTCTTAGCTTAATTGTTTATCTATTATATCTTTGTCGAAAGCACGATTCGTCTTTAATCACCTTATTTTTTGTGAAGATAACTAAAAAGCTAATTTGAAAATTTCTGTTTAAATATTTTTACTATAGCATTTAGAAAATCATGATGGAGTTGATTACCTTCCATATTAGCAAGCTAATGTCAAATTGTCCTCCTTTGTATGACGATGTTGGTGAGATTGCAGCTCCAATAGCAATCTTACTATTAGTTTGAACAAAGCCTGAGCATAACAAGTTGTAGCATCCGGTGGCTTGGTACGCATCGCTCTGCCATATCAATTACAGGCATCAGTGTAAGATTATGTAATATAATTCTCCTCGATTACGGTATTCTCATTAATGTAACATTTATAAGGTACACATACACTTCTAATAGAGATATGTAAAATTAATATGATGATAATCTATGTACACTATAACAGCAATAATATCGCAAGAATATTAATGTACTAGGTATATACATTCTCTATCAAATAGAGTGTCACATTATTGTCGCTATAAATGTATTTACAAGCATTAATGTTGATAGGCTTTAATTATTTAATAAATACTTAAGTTGTTTCGAATAAAATTATTTAGTTTTCAAGTACTATCATGACTAACACAAGAACAAAAAATAAAAAAAATGATTTATCATGTCAGTCTTTTGGTCCACAAAACTTAATACTTATACGTAAATTTAGACATTCAAATTTACATATAGTGTAATGTAAAAATGTTGTTTATCGAGTGAGTTTCTTTATAAAACATAAAATAAAACGAGTAGGTGAAAAAAGGGTGACTTACCGTCCAATAAGTAAAGAACCTAGGATAATTATCACCATAGAGCTCCGGGCTAACCTGAAACAGAATTCAATAAGTAGTTTTAGCAAATATTAGCCACGAATGTTGACCCTCTATTTAGTAATTGAAAGGTAGTTGGATGTGAAGTAGTCAGCAATAAATTTCCATAATAACACTACTTGCCAACTTCTATTAATGTCAATTTTATTTTGAAGTGATTAATAGTATAATATATACTTATATAAATACCCTAAATAAAATAGTATTTAATTAAAAAAAGACAAGTCATGAAAAATGAAGAAAATAACATATATACCTGCCAACCTGCTTCAATTGTATTAAGATCATCACCAAATGAACCAGAAATGACCCACATTTGTGATAGGCTAAATTCATAGGGGTTTGCCACTCTAGGCGACCACACATTTATGCTTGCTTTTGCTCCATAATATTGTTGTCCAGATACATATCCCACTGCATGCTGTTTAATCACACAACAATTAGATGTTCAGTACATTAATTGTTACTAAATCACGCGTCATTCATAAGCCAAATCCGTTTAATTTGAATACGTGGAATCACGATTATTCGAACTTGAATTAAACCTCAAAGTAAAATACATATGAGGTACTCTTTCAGTCTTTAAAAATTCTTTTTATTTTGACTTTTTTGTGAAACAATCATCATCATTTAAGCATTAGAACTTTTAGAAACGGGAAAGTATATATATATATATTATACGGTTTATCTCGAAAGCATGGAATATAATGATGGATAAAGTTGCAGAAAATGTCATCAAGGCAATCGATTTGAAGTCATTATACAAGGGACAAATATATGAAAGCAAACTAAATGAAGAAAATCATGAGAGTGAGGAGTTACTACAAGAAGCAACCTGTCTAAAATTAAATGAGTTGAAATTAAAGAACAACCAACTATCATAAATTTTCTCCTTTCGTTTTTTCAGTCATAAAAAATCAAGTCACTGAGTTTGCTCAAATCCTGTCTTACCAACATTTCTGATTCACATTTAAGTTTTTCCTCTCTTCCGTTTTTACTTTTTTTTTGGAGGGTTGGTAAATTAATTTTGATATGACGACATGGTTCAATAGTCAACACCCTCATTTATTTCTAAATGAAAATCAGATAATTTTTTTGTGTTTTTTATGAATGAAAATAAGATAATTTGTATTGGTATCTTAACTTATGTAAATTTCTATTTCCTCCAAAATATATATATATATATATATATATATATATATATATATATATATATATATATATATATATATATATATATAATGATTAAAATACTTTATTTTGGAGTATTTTTCATGAATGGTTATGAAATGATTCTTTTTATAAAAAGGCGAAAAATGAATTAGTCTTTTTATACCGGATAAAATGATTGCAATGTTCGTGTTACATGTATAATTGTTAGGTACACTAAATTATCATCATTGAAGAAAATATAACAAAATTTCTTTTAGCACCTCTTAAACTAATTTTAATCGCTTATTTCCTAGAGGAGTATAGGTTATAAACACTAGACATTGTGATACGTTAATGATTTTGTTTGTTTTCTTTTCTCGAGTAACTAACATTATAAAAAAAAAAAAAAAAAATTATGAAATTTGAATACCAATCTATGAAATCAAATTATTGCTAGTACATTGTAATCTTAGCTTGTAAGGCTAAATCAATGAAATAGGGATTACAATTTTTTATAAGAATTAATTTATATTCTTCATAGAAAAAAAAAAAAGTGGGACAATAAAAAACTTTAATAAGCTCTTTTCCAGTGGCTTTTGACCCCTTTGCCTTGTATTCACTATGACCCTTATGGTGATAATGATGGACAAACTTAAGCACTTAATCGCTTTGCCTTTTCTTTCCCCCTAATTTTTTTAGTAATCCTAATTTCTATCAATTACTCATAAACAATATTCATACGAAATTCACAAGATACCCTTCATACTTCTATATTTTTCGAGTGTTAATCGTTAACAAGCTCGAACATTTACAAAATTATGGAAGAAAAAACAATCCCTCAATATCTAATATTTGAACGGTGATTATCTCACAAAAAATGATATTAGTCATGAAGAACTTAGAGTGACCAAGGGAGTACTTTTATTAATAAGTAAAATTAGTCTCAAAATACAACTTTTTTATGGTTTCTATATATCTTTGGAGGGGATCAAGACCATTTATAATTAAAAAAGAAAAAAAAAATTACCTCATGGTCAGAGCCAGTAGAATCTCTTCTAACAAATTTTCTGGGTTTTCTTCCAAATCTTCTAACAGAGCTAACTCTCATCACTTCTTCTTCATTTGTTCTTCTAATTGGAATTGTTCCATCTGGACATGCTTCACCTGTTACATGCCATAATTGGAAACTTTCTTCATATATTTTTCCTTCTCTTTCATGTCCTTTTGGCCTCTCTGGTGGTTCCTGCAAATATTTTTCATAATATTAATCATAAAATTAACAATGACAATAATATAAAATCATATTGTTAAGGTTTTATTATGATTATATGTCCAAAACTGATGAAACTTACCAATGGCTTTTGACCTCTTAACATAGGATGATCAAATGCTGGTTGTTGATGTGCTATTACACAATCTATAAGATCCCCATCTACACTCTGTCACCAAATCCAAAACAAAAAAATGTTAATAATGCATAATATACAATGCTAGTAGTATTTGCAATGACTCGCTATATTCGAAATTAGTTGTCATGCTGATAATGTAATTTAAACTAGTAATGTGACAGCTGAATCCGAATGTTTACAGTTTTATCTCTAACATAGCAAAAAACAATTGACATTTCAAAATAGAAAGTTTGATAATACAAACTGTTTAAGCAAAGTTGCAAAATGACATAAATGCAATATCATTCCAACAAAAAACAGGGGAAAACAGAGAGAAGGAAAAAGAGAAAATACTTGAATAGTTTTAAGAGGAGTTTTGTTGATCCTCTTAAGATGTTGTCTGACTCTTTTTAACTTCTGAGCTTCATCACCAGGGCGAAAACTCTGAGTATCATTTCTTGGTTTATCATTGGCAATGCCGGTTTCCGAGGTCGATAAAACAGGGGAAATCAGAGAAGAACAAACAAGTAGCAAAATTACACCAACAATGGGAATGATTGAGGAAATCTTCAACAAACAGCAACTAAATTCCATAGCACCCATTGAAGAAATATTACTATAATCTTTGCTTTTTCTCATATTTTGTCCACATTTATGTTGTCTTCTTCTTGTAGAATGGTACAAAAAACCTTCCTTTTCTTCTTCTTCTTGGCTTCCTTGTTTATTTCTCTTTGGTTCTACAACCATATTTCATAATATATGACACTAGGAAATAGTATATAAATATATACCCAAGAAAATGTATATTTTGGGTAATATAAATTTTTATATTTTGGGTAATATAAATTTAATTTTTTTGGGGTTTTAATGACAATCTTTAAAACACTATTTCCAAGGTTTAGAATGGCTAAAATGACAAACAAAATGAATACTTGCTTCTATTCTACTGCTTCTGTACTCTATAATAACTGCACTACTTTCTTGGTTTTAGGAGAGAGAAATTTAGAGAGAGAAAATTTGAGTTGGGTTGATTAAAAATGGTATGAATCCAATGAAAAATTGGGTTGGGTTTTTATTGTTGAATAACCCATGTGGAGATGGGTTGGAGGTATTAATACAATGGGGTGTTATGATCAAAACATGTTATATTTTAATTAAATTTAATTTATAATATAAAGTTTTTATGAAATCTAAACATTATGATTTTGATTTATGATTAAACATAAGAGGAGAGAGAATGGGGCGTGGGGTTATGTTTCCAGTCTCCAATACATAGACTGCAAAACTTTAGCTTTTTTGTGGTTATTTTTATAGGCAATTACAATATGGTCCTAATCTAAGAAATATTATTTATTTATTTTTATTTGGTTATTTATACTTATTTATTTTTAATTTTGTTGTTGTTATTCTTTGCTTGGGTCTTGAAGACAGATAGGAATTACACTGGGATTTTCTGAGGTTCTAAAGTTGGGTTGTTTTGCTTTAAGGGAGGTTTCTTTCTCACTTCCCTAGATGTTCTTTGTGTCATCCTCTCTAATCTAGTAAATTATCTTTAGTGTTAATATGGTTTTTAGCACTTGAAAACAAAGTTATCCCACTTTGTTAGTCATTCCTAAAAATTGGTTTTTGTATTTGTCATCTAGATTTGGATAATTTTGCACAAAACTAGTAAAATATGGAGATGGTGATAATAATAAAGGAGTTCGTGTATAATTTTGACAGTTTGTGACATGTATTCTTGTTTTAATAGGTCAGTATTGGTGTTGGCGATTTAACATTATTTGCAACTCCTTGATCAGCTTGTTGAACTTAATTGTGCAGTTGTGTGCGATCAACTTGTATACATAGTGCACCATAAACATTAGGTCTTTGCAATTGTTCATCAAAGTTGTACATCACAACTTCACAAGAGTTTGTTTCTCCAACAACCTCACAAGATTAAAGCTTTGTTGTATTAGATTATTAATGTTTAACGGAACTTCTTTTAACATGCATCTTATCTAAATTTCTTTAATGTAATTTAACGTATCTGAATTCTATTGTTTAGACATCATCAATCTGAATACATATGTGAATTCAATGAAATTTAGGTTTGGGTTAAGAGTTAACACGTGAAAAGATATTTTATTGGACATACATCATCAATCTAAATATATACATTTTCCTTTGATTGTCATTAAAAAAGGTGAATTTTGTCTAATACGTGTGTACGTATACCCAAATTCTTAGTTATTAGTGGTGTTCCGGCTCAAGATGGTCTTCGCAACCTTTGCGATTGACACAAACAAACTTAAGATATTCAACATTTATCCAGGAATTGTTTTATTGCTAGGAGAGCGTGGAGGGGTAGATGACTTAGCATCCGCTGATAATTTTATTAGAGATAATATCTTGAAAATATCTTAATATTATTCTCATCATATATCACTCCTATAACTTTCTTTGTTAAGACGGGCTTGGGTCGGATCAAATCAAGTCTCTGGTCAAATCAGGTATCAGGTTATGTCGGTTCAATCTAACTTTCAAATTAGGTTTAGGTTCGGTTCAGGTTATTAATTTAGCCCATTCACCCTTTCGGGTGTAGGACGGGTTCAATTCGAGTCAAATTTGGGTTGAGCTCAATTTCAAGTTTGAGTTGTGTCAAGTCGGGTTTAGGCAGGTTAATAGTTGGTTAATTTGGGTTCGGGTTCGGGTTAGGGTTGAGTCAAATAATTATCTGATCGAATAATCTTTAAGTTGGATTATTCTTAGGTTTGGTTCAGGTTCAGGTTCAAGTTGAATCAATATCGATGTGGTCAAGTTAAACCTATATAATTACGCCTTCTATAATTTGATCAAGCATTATGAAGATTTTCTTAAACCTACATAATAGTGAACAAAAGGTATATAAGCTGAACAAATTGTAGTAATATGTTGCTAAGCTAATGTATTGCTATATGATCTAAACAAAAGGTACATGATCTGAACAAATTGTATTCTACTGTTTTATCATTGTAAACAAATTAAACTCAAAATTTATTTTGGTTAAATAAAACTTGTTTCAGAATATTGGGTAAAAGCAAGTCGCGTTGATATCTAATTTCATGTTAGTTTTAGGTCTGGTCAATGGCAGGTTGGGCTAACAATGATGAGTAAAATAATAAGTCTAGTTATGGGGTCAGCACGGGTCGAGTCAATAACAGGTTATGTCGGGTAATAATCGTTATCGAGTTCTAGTTGGGTCGGGTATTAGTTCGAGTTGAAATTGTTGTCAGGTCGGGTTAAATCAGTTGTCGGTTATTATCAGGTCAGGTAAAAGTTCAGGTTCAGGTCATAAAGTATCGCATCAAATCGGTGGTCGATTGATTAACATCAGGTGGGTTTAGGTCAAGTTACAGGTCCCTAGTTTTACTCCATTGTTCAAATACAGGTCAGGTTTAGGTCATTGTCGATTCAGATCGGATTCTCGGGTCAATATTTTACAGCTCCAATAACAATTTTTTTATATTATATTCATCGTCTAAGTGATGGAAGTATGGAACTATGTTAATTCTAGTTGCTGCTTCCTGCCTAATGCATATATGCTGACTAAAGTGACAACGAGGTAAACATGGTAATTAATCAATATTACTGCACTGTTATAAGGAACTTCAAACGAAATCAATAGAGATTAAGGTACTTTCATATCATAATCGCCGATCAACAAGCAAAATAATTAAATAGACTTTTGAATTGTCGTTTTCCAGGAAATCAGGAAATAAGAAAGGTAAATAAAATTTTCTTAATTTTGTTTTTGTTTTTATGTTTTTGTGTTAAAAAAAAAAAAAAAAAAAACGTTTAGTGTAGGGGCCAAAGCATGCTATTTTTGGCATGCGTATCAGCGTATATGTTTTGTTATTTTATAGAGCGTTACTATACCTGCATGAATATATGCACATTTTGCCCATGCATGCGTATGGCCGTAATTTGTTATTTTCTTCTAAGTTCTTACTATTGTATTAATTTATAATTCTTAACCTTATGTTTTGTTATAATTAAAATAATAGGAAGTACCATTTAACATGTTTTAATTAAATTATATAGATATTGGAATGATATATAACTATATAAGTGATTGGAAATTATTGAAAAAATCAAATAAAGAAGTGAGAACTTTGTGAGATATCATCCAGGTATCGGATGGGTATATGTGTATACTTAGGACGTGTTCAATACTAATATTTAAGTAGCTTTTAGTGGTTTAAATTAATAAAAAATTGAGTGTTTGATAATGTAATGATGGGCGTAGTGTTCAGTAGTGGTTGACGTAATTTTTATCAAAATCAAATAAAATTGTATTAGCCTTAATTAGATGATTAAAAGTAGCTGCTAATTTTTTGACAATTAATCAATTTCTTCTTTACCGAACACATACTTATACTTTAATAAACTATCTTCACAACAATAATTTATTGACAACTAACAATTACTCTCACACTTTGTTTTGCCGAACAATGCCTTAGCCCTATTCTATTTACCTTTTTTTTTCATATACAACTATTAGTAGGCCTGTTATGGTTCCAAACCATTTTATATATGACTTTGACTTTAGGGATTGCACCACACAATCAATCACTTTATTTTTGGAAAAAAAAATAAATTACAAAGTTGGTTCAAAAGCGAAAATTATAGTACTTAGTGAACTTGACAAATTTCAACTTTGACCTACATGTGTGATTTATATTTTATGTAGATCAAATATACTCTTGTGAATACGTGTTACAACCATCTCATTGTATAGTTTTCGAGTATATTTTTGTAATTTATACCTATTGAAAATGGAAGAATTGGTCAAAGTTTTCTATGTTGGCAAATGTGTTAGCCAAACTGGGGCATTTATTATCTACTCCCCACGTTTCGTAATAATCGCAACACTTTCTATTTACGTCCGTTTTATAATATTTGCAACACTTTCTTATTTTGTAAGGATCCACTACTATTTTATTATATCTCTCTCCTACCAACCCCACTTACATTACTTTTTTATATTTCTCTCTCCTACTAACAACCAAATATATCCCCACTAACTATACTTTATATTATAAAATTCTCTTTTTGGTCCCTACCCTATAATTTTCCTAAAAATTTGTGCTACACCTAGTGTTGCAATTATTACGAAACGGATGAAGTAACAGAGGGAGTAATATTAGCCCAACCAGAATATATTATTTCTTAATTTATCTTATCTAAACTTTTCATCAACTATAAAGTCCCTATAAAGATTTTAGTAATTCAATTACATGACTATTTTTAAATTCTATTGCGTGGATAGTCAAAAGTTGCGAGAGATGGTTTCAATCACCAACTTAACATCTCGTGGTACGACTAAGGTGCCGGGAGTCCTTCAATTCATTGTGTTATCAAACCTAAACCAACCCAATTACTTTCCATTATGTTGCTGATGTGTGTGTGTGGTGTGTATGTGGGGTGTGCGCGTGCGTGCGTACAATGTGTGAAATATGTGTAGACAGTGGGGGTTGAAATTGAGGTAAAAGAAGTTTTCCAACAGAAAAGGGTAGAAGTGAGTCAAACAATTGAAACGACACAAAATAAAAAGTGAGTCGAACATTTGGGAACAGAGAGAGTGGAGATGTTTTTAGAAAAAGCCTATTTGAAGATCATTGAACAATTTTACTCTTTTTAAAATTCAAGCTTCTCAATCATCAAGTGACACACAATACTCATTTATTCAAAAAAAAAAAAAAAAAAAAAGTGACACATTACTCACATAAATTTTCAAATTCTTGTTCACACCTCATTCCCTTATTCTATTCTAGAGAATCATGCAAATTAGGGTTTATTAAATAGAAGTGCAAACATGTGACCTACGTGATCATACAACTATCTTTCTTTTCCTTCTATTTGAACTTTGGCTGAAAAAAACCATCTTGGGTTTGATCCATAGACCTGATAGGGATATATGAGGTTGGAAGCTATGTTATTACTATAGCTACCACCTCAATCTTTGGTTTTTATATAATACACCACATTGTTTTTTTAGCCAATTATATACTTAATAGTTAATGGTAAAACTTAATTAGTTAATAGTAAAACTTAATAAACCTAATGCTAGTCTATGAATACTCATTAATATGAATGAGATTTAGACCTTAGCACTAATCATAGTGTCCACAAGTTGAACTTATATATAGATGGCTCATTCATACATAAGAATATAACATATATACCTAAAGATTTTTCAAAATATGAAAAGATATCAATAAAATTCATACTTAGTAGGTATGATTATGAATATAGGAGTACTATTGAGCATAATAATGCACAAATAGACATAATTGTGGTGTGGTGTTGGATGTAATTTGAATCCTGTTTTGCCGCATTGACTAGAAGAAGAGCTTATGAAAAAAAATAAAATAATTATACAATTCTTTTATATAATAAAGTTTCTTTTAACTTATGGATTATAATATATGCTTTTTCTTTTGTTACAATATTCTTTTATGTTGTTGATCAAAGCGGCTTAGATTTGGTTTGAATAATAATGATATGGAAAGCTAAAAAGTGGTTTACTTGGATTCAAGTGAAGTTAAACCAACATAAAACTGTAAAATTGGGTCCACTTGGTTTGTGGGCTTTTTGTCAGCATAACATCTGAAATCAACCTTCTTGTTT